GACAATCAGCTTAGATTCTAATTCCAAATTTACCCAAGATATATTTTTGAGAGGACACAAGGGAAAATGGTGAATCACTTCTAGGAATACCCTGCACACACCCCCGCCCCCCAGGGGTGGAGGGCAGGACTTTAGTTCATACTTTTAAGAATTTAAGGCTAACATTAATTGTATAAGCATTTATGTGATTTTAGAAAAGGCAGAGCCAATGATTAAGAGTAATAGTAAACAAGAATCAAGAAATATGTTATGCCATATGAGCAAACTATTCTGTCTTTTATCACTGTGTCTAACTCAGTGTGCACATTCCTTAGTAGATGAACTTGGGAGGGTTACCCCCTAAGATGCTTTTAGAACATTCTTTTTGCAAGCCATGGGGTCCTATGATTACCCCATTCTGATTATAATTCTTTTCATATTCACCAGCTGAGTTCACTATTATGATATTCAAACTTCTTACTCAATGGAGACAGGCCTTTTCTTTAGAATCTGAAGTGTTTTAAACAGTGGTTTGTTTGTTTGTTTCTTATTTCTCAAATGCCGAACTGGCTGATCTCTGAGAAGCTGATCCTGGAAACCATCTCGATGAATCACTTGTTATAAGCGAAAGAAGAATTGATTCAAAATTTGAAAAGCCGACACTAAATAATAAATGGCAGCAACAGAAGAGAATTTTATTTGTAGTCTGAGAAAGTACCGTTCCCTGAAGAGGAAAGTGGCTGGCTTTATTAGGAACGAATTTGGATAACTGACCAGTAAGGCTGATGAGCACTGACTTCTTCACTTTTGGACGAGCCAATTTCCTGTTGCACTGTCCTCTCTGTGGGCTGTGTGCAAGACTGCTGGGCTGGGCATAAAGCCACAATTAGCCTCCTACTTCCATATGCTTGGGTTAACTGCCGATTCTTCGCTCCAGGCATCTACTTTCAAGCCTCTGCCTTTTAATTAGCAGCAACCAAAGGGATACCGTGAGTGTACCAAATTGCAGTATCATGTTTTATGAGACAACCAAATATGATCTGGATTATTCTGCATTAAATACAGGTTACAAACAAATTGTGAAAAAAAAAATTCAATTCCTTCAGCAGCAACTTTCTTTTTCGGTTCAGAATCAAGCATTTTATATATTAAGTTCCATGCAAATATACAGTTTCTACAGACACTGAGCTTGTCAATCAGAAAGGTCGGCAGTTCGGCAGTTTGAATCCCTAGTGCTGCATAATGGAGTGAGCTCCTGTTACTTGTCCCAGCTTCTGCCAACCTAGCAGTTCAAAAACATGTNCCAAAAACAACAACCGTATTTTTTATGGTTCTCAATCAGTGAAGATGCAACTTTCTTCTTTTTATTCCCCCATATAATTTATGAGGGTTTTTTTTAAAAAAAAATCTCTTCCAGAAAAACTTCTACAGAATTGGTTTGAAGTAGTATCATGTGTAAATCGTTCTTCTTCTGTCAATAATTAATCTGTGAAGTACTTAAAATCTCAGCTTTAAGTGCAACCCCTGGGAAAATAATATTCTACTGAGCAGCAATAATTATACAAATAAGCAGCTCAATGCAAAGCTGGTTTACGGTGGAAACCACAGGGAAAAGTGCAAAGCCTACAGGCTTTAAGATTCAAGTGTGTTATGATTACTCAGTGGTGACTTTTGCTTTATAGCAGTTCAGATCTACCTAGCATATTCAATTTACTTCAACAGAGTAAAGTAAGATAAGCAATTTGAATTGTGTGGATAATAAGGCATCTAAGCATCATTTGTCTCATCCAATCAATTGCCAATCCCATGGGTTGAGAGACCTCTTTCAAGCATTGGATGATTTGTCATTGTTTCTTTCCTGTCATGCATCTTCTCTCTCGACTTTCTAAATGGAATCATTTGTGTCTTCCTTAGAATGAAAGCATATTTAAAGGAAAGGTAGAAGGGAAGGAGCTTTGTATAGTGCATTACATTCCAGGGCCATCTGTGTATTTACATAGGCTTTTGAAACATGATGGTAGTGCCAAGGCTTTTAGATCAAATGTTCTAATATATTAGCATAGATATTTCATTTGCCTTCTAAAACCTAAATGTATTATTGGGAATAAAACTCTCTGACAGCCCAGCAGTCACTGAAAAATTTAGCATGGTTCTATTTATAAGAAGAAATATCAGTATTTGCCAAAATAATGAAAAGTTTGTTATTATTCCTCATATTATCTTTCCATCTCCATCCTAAAAGACATAGGTAGAAAATAACAGTTTTTCCACTGGGAGCTGCCTGAAATTTGTCTGGCAAATTTATTTTAGAAAGTACTAAAATGATTTCCTGAACTATATGTGCAAAATACTCTGAACTTGAAACATTCAGTGGTTAACTATTCAGAACTTGAAAAAAATAGAACAGTGTTACGCATTGAATACTATTATTTTCCTAACTTCAAAAAAATTGATCAAAGGAGGAATGAAAGGAAGATTAGATCTATATCTGCATCTATTTTTTTTACATAGCAAAAAGTGGAAGTAAAAATGAAATTGGCCAGGTTTCGTCCAACATGACCGCATCATTTTAAAAAAAAACTTTTTTGACCCATTTTTTAAGATAATATAAGTCGCATTCAGAATACACTACCACCCATGTACATTTCTAGCCTTAGGACAAAAAAATAAATTACCACTGTTTCCTATGGGTAAATAGTAAAAATATTTCAAACTTTGTATTATTGGGATACAGCCAATTCAATATGTTCATATATCATGCTTTGAGTTAGGATCCAAGTACTTCCCTGTCCATTTTCTTTAAGTTAAAGGTAAAGGTTCCCATCGCACATATGTGCTAGTCGTTCCCGACTCAAGGACGGTAATCATCTCTGTTTCAAAGCCAAAGAGCCAACGCTGTCTCTGTAGTCATGTGGCTGGCATAACTAAACGCTGAAGGTGCATGGAAAACCATTACCTTCCCACCAAAGGTGGTCCCTATTTTTCTACTTGCATTTTTTACAGGCTTTCGAACTGCTAGGTTGGCAGTTGCTTTCTAACTGCTAGGTTGAGTAACTCTTTAAGTTACTCAAAGTAAAAACAAAGCAGAACACCCTAAGTACCCACACACTCTCACATAGAAGAAAGTGTCATCAATATATACCCTTAAGAGCAATCATTTGCTAAAAGAAAACAGAAGAAATAATTTTTATGGCTCCACAATAAGCTAGATGGAGCCTGATTCCCCCCCCCCCAAATTGAGATGAATGTGAATTACTACAGTATTCAGTTGCTTTGACAATCAGCTTAGATTCTAATTCCAAATTTACCCAAGATATATTTTTGAGAGGACACAAGGGAAAATGGTGAATCACTTCTAGGAATACCCTGCACACACCCCCGCCCCCCAGGGGTGGAGGGCAGGACTTTAGTTCATACTTTTAAGAATTTAAGGCTAACATTAATTGTATAAGCATTTATGTGATTTTAGAAAAGGCAGAGCCAATGATTAAGAGTAATAGTAAACAAGAATCAAGAAATATGTTATGCCATATGAGCAAACTATTCTGTCTTTTATCACTGTGTCTAACTCAGTGTGCACATTCCTTAGTAGATGAACTTGGGAGGGTTACCCCCTAAGATGCTTTTAGAACATTCTTTTTGCAAGCCATGGGGTCCTATGATTACCCCATTCTGATTATAATTCTTTTCATATTCACCAGCTGAGTTCACTATTATGATATTCAAACTTCTTACTCAATGGAGACAGGCCTTTTCTTTAGAATCTGAAGTGTTTTAAACAGTGGTTTGTTTGTTTGTTTCTTATTTCTCAAATGCCGAACTGGCTGATCTCTGAGAAGCTGATCCTGGAAACCATCTCGATGAATCACTTGTTATAAGCGAAAGAAGAATTGATTCAAAATTTGAAAAGCCGACACTAAATAATAAATGGCAGCAACAGAAGAGAATTTTATTTGTAGTCTGAGAAAGTACCGTTCCCTGAAGAGGAAAGTGGCTGGCTTTATTAGGAACGAATTTGGATAACTGACCAGTAAGGCTGATGAGCACTGACTTCTTCACTTTTGGACGAGCCAATTTCCTGTTGCACTGTCCTCTCTGTGGGCTGTGTGCAAGACTGCTGGGCTGGGCATAAAGCCACAATTAGCCTCCTACTTCCATATGCTTGGGTTAACTGCCGATTCTTCGCTCCAGGCATCTACTTTCAAGCCTCTGCCTTTTAATTAGCAGCAACCAAAGGGATACCGTGAGTGTACCAAATTGCAGTATCATGTTTTATGAGACAACCAAATATGATCTGGATTATTCTGCATTAAATACAGGTTACAAACAAATTGTGAAAAAAAAAATTCAATTCCTTCAGCAGCAACTTTCTTTTTCGGTTCAGAATCAAGCATTTTATATATTAAGTTCCATGCAAATATACAGTTTCTACAGACACTGAGCTTGTCAATCAGAAAGGTCGGCAGTTCGGCAGTTTGAATCCCTAGTGCTGCATAATGGAGTGAGCTCCTGTTACTTGTCCCAGCTTCTGCCAACCTAGCAGTTCAAAAACATGTAAAAATGCAAGTAGAAAAATAGGAACCACCTTTGGTGGGAAGGTAACAGCATTCTGTATGCCTCCAATGTTTAGTCATGCCGGCCACATGACCAGGGAGATGTCTTCAGACAGTGCTAGCTCTTCGGCTTTGAAGCGGAGATGAGCACCACCCCCTAGAGTCAGGAACAACTAGCACATATGTGTGAGGGGAACCTTTACCTTACTTCATTTCTGTGAAACGAGACTTCATGAACCCTGCCACGGCTCAAAGCTCTGCCTCAGACTGGGAATGGTTATGCTACAGCGACTATTCAAGAGATGTTACTATTCAAGTTGTGTTACTTTCTGTAGTTGAAGAACCAACTTCCTGAGGAAGAAGGAATTTCTCTGAACACAGTTTTGTACTTTCTGGCTTTCATACTGATGTAAAAACTAATGGCAAAACCTTTCAAATTACATGCTTTCTTTCAAATGCAATGCTTACCTTATAATTCCTGCAGGAAGGACTAAAGGCATTCGTCCCACAAATAAATAATGTATCATCATCTCGTTTTAGAAGAACCTTAATAAAGTTATGACATTCATCCTGCCAAAAGGATTAAAAAAAAGGAAAAGAACTGAACTACTGTTCCAGCAATTAACATCATAAATGTTTAATACAATTAAATACAATATACCAATTTGTTTGTTTCAGCAATTTTTCCTGCCATTTGGAAAACAAGGCAACAATGGATTTCCTCAGAGTGGCATTAGAGGAACATGGCTGTCAGGGATTTAAGGATTATACTTGTCTTTTTCTGCTGCTGTTTATTGTAGAAAATGTACTTTAATGACAATCATGAATCAAGAATAGGACCTCAGTATGTCTCTATGTATTTATGCAATTTATACACTGGTGCATCTTAGGCAGTTTATAGGTATAAAAACAATAATAATAAATAACATATTACATTCAGACATTAAAAGTAAACAGAAAGGTTGATGCAGATGAGGAAAAATGCCATAGAAAATGCAACTAATGCAGCAGGTGTAAGACACTGCAAAACAGGTAATCCTTGTTTAATGAACTGTTGCTTAGCAACCATTCAAAGTTATAAAGGACCCTCTAAAAAGTACTAATGTAGAATTTTTGATGGACATGCACACACCTGAGGTTATATGATCACATTTTGAGCACCTAGCGACTGGCTCACATTCACAGTTGTGATCACATAAACATGATTTTTGACTTTTGAGACATCACTCTGCCAATAGAAGTGCATATAGTGATGGCTATGGTTTTCCCAGTTGCAATGTATGGCTGTGAAAGTTGGACATAAGAAAGGCTGAGGCCAAGAATTGAGGTCTTTGAACTATGGTGCTGGAGAAGACTCCTGTGAGTCCCCTGGACTGCAAGGCAATCAAACTAGTCAGTCCTAGAGGAGATCAATCTCCTGACTGATCTTTAGAAGGCCAGATTCTGAAGATGAAACTCAAATACTTTGGCCATCTAATGAGAAGGAAGGACTCACTGGAGAAGAGCCTAATGCTGGGAAAGATTGATGGCAAAGGAAGAAGGGGATGACAGAGAATGAGGTTGCTAGATGGAGTCAATTCCAGGGAATGGTAGAGGATAGGAAGGCTGGAGAAACGTTGTCCGTGGGGTCGGAATAGGTCAGACACGACTAACAACAACAAAGGACTGATGCTTCTTGTACATCCTGTCTTACTGAACATTGTCTGGGTAGAATAGGAAAAAAATAAAACCCACAAAATATATATGATCTAAAGTCATTCATAGTTAATCAAACTTTAAATTGCTAAAACATTTTCCTAAGATGATTTCTTTATTACCTATAAAGACTCTAAATTATGTCAGTTCCTAGTAGAAAGTTAGTAGTGATAGTAAGCTTCTTAATTCCTCTTCATTTCACAATATTTGACATTTTGGTTATAATGTTTCATTACATTACAAGTAAACCATTTTTTTTTGAAAATTAAAACCTTCAATAAACTGTTGGAAGAAAACTATGGCATGATGCAATCTGTAACACAGAGAGCAGTATATGAGAACAGTCAAGCAACTGAACAACATGGCATCTGCCAGAGAAATGAAATTTGCCTACCTTATGTTTTCCCTTCATTCTGCATGTATCTACATCAAGCTGTCTGGATTTCCATGTCAATTTCTTCAAGGATCAAGAAAGAAATCAATTAGAGCCTGGGGTGTTTGTATTTAATTTCAAAAGGAAAACTAGCTACTGAATATAAAATTATTGAAAACATTCCATGCTTATTCTATGCTTGACTTACTCTTGTACAGAAGCCTTATGGGTGTAGAACATTTAGTTTTAGAATTGATTGCTATTTATACAATGTATAATACTATACTTCTGTAATATTTTCTATACTTCTGAGGGTGCTTGTTAACAGACAAATATTACAACACATACTCTTCATATTCTGTTTTAATCTCTTGGAGTAGAATATACATACAAACACACAAACATATATATGTTGATATAAATATATTTGCACTTTCGCATGTAATGTGTACAGTATGCACCTACTGTATGCATATACACCTACACAAACAGACATACTGTATACAGTACATAAATATACAGATATACAAATAGAGGCATATAATTTTGTACCAATAGAAGAACAAGAGAAAATGTGTAGCTTAGTATTGAAGTGTGGCGTCTATGGCACTCTCTGAGTTTGGTTGTTTTCTTGCAGACATTTCTTTACTAAACTAGGTAACATAATTAGTGTTAAAAGGTCTGTGGAGGCTACCTAGTTTTTCTAGCACTGATGTTACCTGGTTTGGTAGTGGAATATCTGTAAGAGTAAGACCAAGCTCAGAAAACACCAAGGACAAAAATTAAAGCATACTCATATAGTATACAATAGATCAAATATTCCCTATTGCTGTTTGGAAGTAGTGTTTAGTCAAATAAAATGTTTAGGGAAATAAACTGAGTTAAAAATGCTCTCCACTGATTCAAAGTTGTGCACAGCATACTTGAGCTCATTCTGGAGGAACAAAGAAATATGACCAGAGTTAGCTTAATTCAAAGCTGGAACACGGTCTGACAGCTTCTGAGTGCCAGAAAACAAGTTTGTATGTAAAAAAAACAAACCCTACATTCTCAGGTAGTGTTGGAAAGACCATAGAGCCATTGCTAATTATTATAAGTGATCCCAGCTAGAAGGCCAGTGATTTCACCTGTCTAATGCACTTTCAGTAGATTTTACCTATAAAAAGACTTTCATGAAACTCTAACAATGAGTCAAAAATTGATGTACCTAGGCAAAATTGCAACAAACTGTTTGTCAATGGATCCTGAATGAGAAAAAACAATGAAGAATTGTATTCTACTGATGGTGTTTTGCCATCTAAGTCAAGACATGTATATACACTTGCCAATCTTCACTGGAAAAAAAAAAGAAGTATCTGAATCTCAGTTAAACTGAACATTTCATATGCTGCTCTGATTTTTAGAAATGGTACATTCCAAGGCAAAGGGCCATCAAACATTTAGAATGAAACTGAATATTAATTTTACAAGGTTCTTGGCCCCAGTTCTCACAAAAATGGGGAACAGAAATAGGAGATACACTATTTTATGCAGATTTAGCTTCTCACAAAGACATGCATCCCTAGTCAAGCAAGCCATGGAACTTTGGAAGATTTTTTCCACTGTTTTACTCATGCATTTTTCATTCAGAATTCATTGGAAAACTTTTTTTTTCATTTTTGCTTAGATTGTCTTTAAAAAAATCACTTAGATTTTGTAAACCATTCTACCTGAAAATAAATTTCAGCCCAACCTATTTATTGCTCTGCTTGATTATATTTCATGAGCACAACAGTTTTAAGATACCTGCTCTTAAATAAGAAATATTGAAAATAAATATTTGAACTATTTATAAATATTCAATCTGAGTAGCTTGATGTAATGCTACAGACAAATGATATCTAAAATGCCATTAAAGCTAATAGTTATATTAAGATTCTGGACAGTATTTCCACCCATATCTATAATTCAGTAGTTAAGCATTTTTGCAAGTTAATATTTTTGCATCCTCCTCCTTTCCTCTCAGTGGTGTCACCTTACCCTTTAGCTGTATCATCTGTCTTGAATATGATGTAATAGATGACATCTAGGATACTAGAAGTGCTCAAATGCTAAAACAAGTGAGTTGCTTTTAGCCCTTCCTTAACTATATACATATCCTATTAATTTTGAGATATTTAATCTAGTACTAACAGAAAAAAAAAATTGTAGCAGCTTTCTAAGTTTTATCTTTAAACTTAAATATTTGTAGTCTTGGGGAAGAATTGTAAAAATAATAAGATTATTGTGTTTACTATTTAGATGTCTATGTATTTAATTCCTTATAAAATGTGATCATTAAACTATTTAAGTGGAGTTTGTTGAGTAACTTATATTTACTATAATAATACAGACGTCAAAGCTGCATGATAAGTAAAAATGTTGGCATGACCATGTACTTCTATTGTAATGTAAAAATCTTGCTTATAATTATTATCCAAAGTACATATAATATATAACTATTTATCCAAAATACACAATGAAAATGGCAAATGTATGCACTTTGCTTATATAATCATTGCAATTTCAAAAGCAGGTCTGGAAAACATGAGGAGCAGGGTATTTTTTCTTATTAATTTTCTACTTTCTTATTTTTATTGTCCTTGATTCGTGAATAGGAGAAACTACTTACTTTGCTAAAATAAATTTCTTCTGTGTGTGATGAATCCATATCAACAGTATAAATATGGTCCCTGTAAACAAAGAGGAAAAAGAATGCCAAGATAAACTCAGGTGGTTCATATTTTACAGGAGGAGTGCTTCATGTTCAAATAAATCATTGTCCCTTAGTCAGGAACTAAGGATAATATCAAAGAACACCAGACAGCATATCTTATGCTTTCTTTGTGTTACAGAAGATAAACAATCAATACAAATACAACATGAACAATACTGTCATTCTATGTGCTATGAATGAACAAAAGGTGTAAAAAGGAATTAACTGAGAAGACAGAGGTTCCCTAAAATCATTTTGGTACAGATTATGTTTTTTGTATATTTGCAAGTACAGAACAAGTCAACCTTGTTTGGAGAATGGGATGTATTGTAAGATTGGGATATATTGCAAGATATTTGTAAAGTTTGTATAATTTGGCAAAATATTTGATTCCTATAATCCTTCAACAATCTTATCATTGTTAAAAAAAATCCGGCATAGATATTCCAATTAAGAATTGTGGCTCCTAATATGAAAACACATACCTGGACTCAACATGTGTTCATGGACATTATGTTCTTTAATTTAGGGGACTCCATCCCTTGACCTATTATTTTATATTATAGTCTAGTAAGATTTTAGTGGGTGGCAGATATAAGTGATCTTGTATAAACCCAAAAAGCTAAGCAAGTTCGGGACTGGTTAGAATTTGGATGGGGGAAGAATATCCAATTTTGGAAATGTCACTTAAAAGTTGAAAGTAATAAAATAAACAAGATCATGGATAATCAAACTGCAGTTGACTCTTGAAACCAATTTTCAGGACTCTTTTGACAAGTGCCATTATACAGTATGCTAAAAGATACCAATAGAGCCTTCACAACAATACTTTCTACCACCATAATACAATTATTTAATTTGTATAGCTGCTTTAAACCTAAAAATGCTTGGCTATATGATAAAAAAGAACAGCAGTACATATCAGTTCTCTCCCCACCACCACAAATAATGAGATTGGAGACTAAGATCAAGGCAACTTTGAAAGTATTAGTTACTTGTGGAACCACAGAAGGGTGTGGAAATTAAGAAAAAGAGCTGGCTACTGAAAAAAAAAGTACAGCCTGACTCCATCTGAAGCCTTCTAAACAAAGCTCACAGTCCTGGCTACCAGGCTAAGGAGTATAGAAGCAGAGTCCAAGAAGATACATGCCCTATTATCCAAAGAACCATTCACACAGTGTATTCCCAATTGCAGGGCAACAATAAAGCAACAGGATAGTCACCAACAGCAGAGACTGATCAGTACTGAAAAAACATATGGGAGAAAGAAAAGGTAGATAACACTATAAATGATGTATGTTGAAGGGCATCTTTTCATTTTTCACAAGCAAAAAACATATACTAAAACATTCTGTTCATGTAGAACTTTGAACTAAAATGAGGACCCAAATTGTTGGGGGCAATATGCTGACTTTGTAGAGAGGGTTGAAAAGCACTGTGAAAATGTATATAACTCCCTGTCCCAATAAATCACATAGGTCGCATTGGTGTTTATTTTTCTTAAATGCTTGAAGATCTATTATTAAGTCTTTTGGGTGGCACTGAGTGAGCTTGAAGTGCCCAACAGTGTATGCAATGATAATGTGGCTTTGTTTTTAAAAGTTCTGTGTCCAAATTCAATAGAAATGTTGTTTGATTTATAATATAAATGGGGGTAAAAGCTCACAACATCTTTCTTGTTCTGTTTCTTGTTTTGTCAAACGAATAGTTTAATTATGTTTGAAAACTTATCCTAGGACAGTAAGACTTCTTTTAATGTAAGCTGTTTGTGTTCCCTTTTTCTTTCTTTCTTTGATAGTTTATAAATTAATTAATAAATAAAATTAGATGCCACTTTATCCTTAGAGACAAATTAAGGTCAAAGAATATAGACATGCTTCTACGTGCTCTTAAACAATGTGAAATATAAGGGAAATATCCTTTTATAAAATGGGAGACAGCACCAATATAATAAAACCTTGTAGCACTGAGCAAAGAATAGGAGGATGAGACTGATAAAAAAGGAGTTTTAGTTACTCACTGTTCTTTCAAATAACATTAACCCTCTCCCTACTACCTGTGAGGGAGTATGTGCTAGGTATTTTAAAATAGTGCAGTGTATATAAGGAAATCTCCTCTATTGATACTAGTTTTTTAAAATATATTTGGAGGAAGCAAGGATAGCAGATTCAAAACATTTGCAGCAAGCCAAAATATAAGCAACATTTTCCCCACATAGATAAAAGGGTTTGTTTATTAACAAAATCAGCTTTTCTTACGTTTTTCATGAATTTCCTCCCATTTGAAAGCAGCTTTCTTTCTAAAATGCCATGCTGTGAAAGGTGTGTCTATATTTATTTTTATATTCCTTAATCTTCTGGGAAAACTGCCATTTACTTTTATGACAAGTTTAATGCTTATTATTCTCTTGACTCCATTGCCAGAACTTTGATCCAAAGTTAATACAGAACTACTCTTTTGTTTGGTTTTTATTTTACAGAGAAAACAGTACGTCCTCTTTCCTCAGAATTTCATTGTAAAGCTCTGGCAAAATAGACCAGTAAATTAAAAATAAAACCATGCATTAGTATGGCAAGTTAATAAGTGATTATCCCTGGCAATATCTAATGTTCTATTTACCCTCAGTTAGAAGTTTTGTATATACTGAATGCCAGAAAAAAAAACCTGTAAGGTTCAGCACAGCATTATGTTTAACTCCCTTCTAACTGAGGAACACTTTAAGGACTTATGGCAGATTTGCAGTCAATTGTCAGGAAAAGTAAAAGCCAGAATTATGGACCTATGTGAACTCTGATTTCCAGATAAGTTAAAAAAAAGAAGCTTCCACTGATCCACAGTTGTTTCCATACAAAAATTACCAAACACTAAAAGGTTCTGCTAAAGTGAAGATATAAATCTGTGCCGTTTTGTTTTATGTTGATGCTTTCCGTCATCTGGATCTTGCGAATTCATTTTTTTACACAAATAAACTAATTCTAGCACTTCTGGTTTTCCCACCTGTAGTTAACAGTGCTGCAGCAGATGTTATTATGCCACACTTGTGCAGGGAAAGAAAATGTAAATAATGCTGCCTTTTTCTGACCCGTAGCCACAGCTATGGGTATTAAATGCATGTTAAGATTCTGGTGTGCACCAGGAAGGTATGATAAATTACCAAAATATGTAGTGGGAGAGAGAAAGACAAAATGAACACCTGAAAAATTAAGTGATTTTTGTGAAGATGGCAAGAAGAAGAAAAAATCAGTCTTCTCATGTAGCTATTATAAGAAACATTATTTAATTATTCAAATTCTGCTTGTCTTTCATGTACTTCATATTCTCTTCAACACTTGCCTCATACCAGCAAAATGATCTAACCTTCTTATGACATTTTTTTTGGTAATAAGAGTCTAAAGAATATAAAGAAATTGCTTCCTGGCCCCTTGAGAGTTCAGAGTGCAATACTTTAGTAAAGCTAACCATCCAGGGGACTTTGCAGTTTATACTTAATGACATAAGTGCTCCAAGGATTCGCTACCACTTTAGAGGATTTCATGTGGGAACTATTAGTATGTCTTACCAGCTTGGAGAAAGACATGTTTATTGGAGTTTCTTTAAGCTAGTTACAGTTTCTCCAAATGTTATACTTACAGAATTAACTGTGCTTTTGTCTTAAGCCAGATTGCAACCCTATCTGGCATCCAAGTATAAAGGACTGTAGGGGTAAATGTTCCTGGGATACAGCTAGGTTTTGTTGCAAACCCCAAAGCTGAGAAAGGGCATTGGTACTTACCTGATACACCTATTCTCTTAGTGAGGGAGGATTATCCAGGATGGGTTGACCTTATCTTCTCGTTGATTGGACTGAGTCAGATAAGCTCTTGGAATACGTCCCTGGTCCACCAGGCACTGCCCAGTTATTGGCGAAGAACTCTATCCGACCCATTGTGCCATCCACTCCAGACCTTTGTTAAGGTTTCAAACTTTTTATTGAATTATAACTTGAACATATTAGTACAACCTTCATCATAATACATGTTACACTACCATGACAGGGAGGGTCTGGATACTCCTCCCCCACTATGAGAAGAGGCGTATCAGGTTAAGTACCAAAGCCCTTTCTCCATAGTGAGGGGAGGAGTATCCAGGATGGGACATACCAAAGCTAACACGTCCGTAGGGAGGGTAACACACTAAGGGCCCATGGCCAAACTATGCCTGGTGGGGTACATCCCCCGCCCTATGAACCACCTGTAATATGCTGCAACCAAACGATGCCTCCACCGAGGCAAAGATATCTAATTTGTAGTTTCTCACGAAGGGTGAAGGGAAAACCATGTGGCTTCCCTACATATCTCTGTCAATGAGGCCTGCATTGTCCAGGCCGCAGTGGTGGCCGCACTTTGTGTGGAGTGTGCTGTGATGGGGCTCGGTGACTGTATGCCCTGGGACTGGTAGGCTGTAGCAATGCAGGTTCTCAACCACTTGCCTATGGTGGTGGAGGTCACTTTTTTGCCCAGAGATCCTGGTTGGAATGAGACAAACAGGACCTCGGACTTTCTGTTCGGCCGGGTTCTTCTGAGTTAAATCGTCAGTGCCCTCCTTACGTCTAGAGTGTGCCACTTCCACTCTAATGGGCGAGAAAGGCCTGGACAAAAATTGGGCAAAATCAGCTCTTGTGACCTGTGGAAGCATGAGCACACCTTAGGTATGAATGAGGGGTCCAACCACAACACCACTCTGTCCTGGTGAAATATGCAGAGGTCCTCCTTAGTGGACAGGGCCTGCAGCTCTGATATCCATTTGGCAGATGTGATGGCCACTAGAAACACCACCTTAAGGGTTAAAAACTTTAGTGACACTGCTCGCAATGGCTCAAACGGGGACCCCGTCAGAGCATCCAACACCTTGTGCAAGTCCCAGGAAGGGTACCTGTGTACTGTGGGTGGTTTGAGGTTGGACGCCCCTTCAGAACTGCCTGACCAAGGGTTGGTGAGT